AGTAGATCTTTCCCTTAATACTACAATATTATCTACTACAGTCATTATTTGATTTATCTATACACCTAAAAATCATTACTTTCTGCCACAGCCTTTTTAAATCATTTCTGTCCTAGCAAAGAGACAAAACCGTTAAGGTCTAAGCGTTTATTGAGGGTGAAAGAAATCAGAAAGTCCACTAGAAGAACAGGTTTTAGAAAGCTTTTAGGCGACGTTTAAAGCTGTATTTAAATTTTTGAGTAGCGTAGTTGAGAGAAAACCAAGAATCAGGATTAGAGTTTCACAATAAAGAATTTTGGAGAAGAAGCTATTAGCATAGAACTTACGGTTAGAAAGTGCAATTTCAATAGCAAATTATGAGACTTAAGTATCAATCTAGTACAATGCTTAAGTTCGTAAAATCACACTATCAAAGGAGATAGCTTACCAGAGTAATAACCTGGGAAGCTACCTTAAGGCGGTAGAGATCTTTTTTTCAGAGTCCCTTTACCCTGAGTTGTTCTAGAGAATTATATTGTGTGATATTGAGTATAAAAAATAATTTATGATTGGGAAGTGGTCTGATTAGCATTGTTGGGAAAAGGTTCTTCTTAGTTGTATCAATGACTTTGCAGTACCTTGCAAAATCTTCAAATATAACTTCTCTATGTTTTGCATCTAAATTAAAATTTCATTTAATTTTAGATGCAATAGAATCAGACGAAAAATGGTGTCGTTTCCGACAGATTGATTTCGTTTTAAAACTTTTAGTATACGTCGACTTTTTTCATCAGTCTGTTGCCTCAGCCTGGCCAGCGTTTGTTCCAATGTACTCATTTAGTGATGGATAGAAAGTTTAAGAATACAAAGTAATAAAGTGGAAAATACAGACTAAAGAAAACACAACCTTCTGCACTGACAGACAGACACACTATATATATATATATATATATATATATATATATATATATATATATACTAAATCTCATAACTGCTTATATTGGTTCATCTCAAAAGCACTGGAGCTGAAGTCCGCCAAGATTTATGTGTTCGCTTCTCTGACAACGGCGTATTAGGCCATCTCGTAAATCCTCTTCTTTCGACTGACAGCAGCCATAGTAGAAAACAGAGAAATGTCGCGTTCTATAATGAACATGACGGCAACGATGTTCTCCTCCTCCTAAAAAAAAGGTGATTTTTTAAACAAATAAAAAGCAGCCGCAGTTATATATCCCTGTTTTAGAGAGTTTTCGACACGTCCGACTTTCACCAAGAAATTTTAAAATTACCGTATTTTATAGTCTATAAGAGATTTCACGATTGACATTTAATATTGAGAATTATGGAATTTGACTAAGTCCAAGTACTGGAACTCCCCGGCGTCTGGATAAACATTAACTTATCAGCTATTAACTAAAACTATTTTTCTAGTATTTTGCGTGAAAAGGCGTGTATTAGAGTCTTATATATATATATATATATATATATATATATATATATATATATATATATATAATACAGTTACTATCTGTTGCCAAAAAGTATCTCACATACCATCAACAAGAGATTTCTATATCGTTAAAAATTATGGATTTATATGCGTTGTAACATAAAAGATTTATTAAACAAGTTCGTCGAAAGCTGCAGGTTTAGTCACTATGCATACACGCTGGTCCAAAAGTTTTGTCACCCCGCATAACATAATTTTCTATTTCAATGCGCTGTTGTGTATTATTAAGGAGGGAACCTTACATGACCTATTCCAGAATACCTATCAGTTAACTTTTGCAACAATAAACAAAGCAAAGCTTCGTAAAATATTCCACAGGACATGGCACCATATTATCTTGTGATGGTGTTCCTACAGACCTCGATGTGTGACAGCGTCAATGAAAGCGAATAAACTGAATCCAGTATATATGATTTGTATTTCTGTCTAACTTATTTTCCATTGATTTTCGTACGATTCTGTATTGAAGGTATCGGTCTATGTCGCAAGATAAAAGTTTAGTCAAAATTCTGTCCTTTGGTGGTGAGATTAGAGTAACCTCTCCAGGGAGTAGAACTAGGCGATGATATACAGAGGTCGAGCGTTGTTAGTGTTGACATCCAACTGCATTAGTTTGCTCTTTTGTAGCCTTTTCTTTCAAAGTAGTGTTATAAAAACCTCGCAGAAATCCAGTAAGATATCTTTAATCATTTCTAAAGTATAACGGTTCAAAGCTTAATCAAACAAATGGACAATTTTGCAGTTACACCCGATAATTTTTTATTACAGCATTTTGTGGGTTATGATCAAGGAGAGAGTTTCACATGAACGATTCCTGAATACTTATCAATTGAAGGGCACAGTTCAGAGAACCTTTGCAACAATCAACAATTTCGTAAAATACATGGACATGGGGCTGTCACGAAAATGATGCTGTTCCTACAGACCTTCTCGATGTGCGACAGCGACAATGACAGTGAATAAATTGAATCCATTTCATGTGCTTTGTATTACTGTCTAACTTATTTTTTCCATTGTTCTGGTTACTTTTTGTAGATGGGGGTGACAAAACTTTCGGTTGATTCTGTATTAAAAGTATAGGTTTATGTTGCGAGATAAAGGTTTAGTCAAAATTCTGTCCTTTGATGGTGAGATTAGGATGACCTCTCCATGGAGCAGACCTAGGCGATTATATATAGAGGCCGAGCACTGCTCAGATCACATGGTTGTTGGTGTTGACAGCCAACTGCATTAGCACTTTCATATCCTTTTCTTTCACAGTGGTGTTATAAAAGCCTCGGAGAATTCCAGTAAGATATCTTTAATCATTTCTAAAATATAACGGTTCAAAGTTTCATCTAACAAATGGACAATTTTGTTGTTACACCCGATAATTTTCTATTTCAGCCTTTTGTGTGCTATTATCAAGGAGAGAATTTTAAGTGGCCGATATCCAGAATGCACATCAGCTGAAGGACGCTGTGGGAGAAACTTTGCAGCAATCAACAAAGCTTATCAGTTATGTGCCATGCGTGATACATGCTTGGGCGATCATGTATTTTTTATACATGACTGACGAGGTAGATTTTCCCGCAGCAGGTTTCCATTTCTTTCTGCCATCCAAGGATATAGAACCTGGTCTGTCCTTCTATATAGCCATAGGACCTTTGGTGGTGGTGGTGGGGGGGTTAAGAAGAGGATACATACGTTTTCCATGGGTATTAGCATATAAGTGAACGAAATGGATTCGATTAGAATCAATCCGAGTCGCTATCCTTTACTCCACAGTGTCTCTTATCAACAAAGGACAGCTTCGTAAAATACATGGACATGGCGCCGTATCATTTTTTGGCACGAAAATGATGCTGTTCCTACAGACGTTCTCGATGTGTGACAGCGTCAATGAAAGTGAATAAACTGAATCCATTTCATGTGCTTTGTATTACTAACTTATTTTTTCCATTGTTCTGGTTACTTTTTGAAGGTGGGGGTGACAAAACTTTCGGATGATTCTGCATTGAAAGTATCGGTTTATGTTGCGAGATAAAGGTTTAGTCAAAATTCTGTCCTTTGATGGTGAGATTAGGATGACCTCTCCATGGAGCAGACCTGGGCGATGATATATAGAGGCCGAGCACTGCTCAGATCACATGGTTGTTGGTGTTGACAGCCAACTGCATTAGCACTTTCATATCCTTTTCTTTCACAGTGGTGTTATAAAAACCTCGGAGAATTCCAGTAAGATATCTTTAATCATTTCTAAAATATAACGGTTCAAAGTTTCATCTAACAAATGAACAAATACATGGACATGGCGCCGTATCATTTTGTGGCACGAAAATGACAGTGTTCATACAGACGTTCTCGAAGTGTGACAGCGTTAATAAAAGTGTATAAACTGAATCCAGTACATGTGTTTTGTATTACTGTATTTACTTTTTTGTAGAGGGTGAAAAGACTTCTGGACCACCCTGTAGTTAATTTTCTTTTCTTTTTAAATATTTTCATGGTAATTATTCGGATGTGCTGGTGGTGAAATAGATAATGGTCCGGAAATTGTAATCGGGCAACCATGTTCCAATTCCCGTTGGGTTCGTTATATTCACTAACGTGCAAATACCCTAAAAAAATGGATGAACCAATAACTCCCCCCCCCGCCGCAAGAATTAACCTAAGACATATCTTACAATCTAAAAAATTATTTTCTGGCTTTAAATAACCTGAAAATGGTTGATAAACCATAAAAAAACGAATTAATCAATCGAAGAATCAACCAATGATAATGATGTTCCTGCTGCACAGGCCCGTGATCAATCCCCGCAGATTACGAATTCATTGGCGCTTAAATGAGCTATACAGGGTGGTCCGAAAGTTTTGTCACCTACTACATAATATAATTTTCTATTTCAGATGGCTGACACGTGGTCCTACACGAAAAAAAAATGATGGTGCTCATACAGACCTTCTCGATATGTGACTGCGTCAATGCATGTGAATAAATTGAATCCAGTACATGTGCCATATATTACTGTACTATTTGTTTTTATTATTCTCATTACTTTTTCGTAACGGGTGACAAGACTTTCGGACCATTCTGTACATTGCGTGAATCGATTTGTTAGGACACAGAAGCATTATACAAATATATTTATTTTAGCTCCCCCAATATTTTAAACAAGTGTTATTTCGTCTAATTGCATTATTAGTCACCGGTTTGGAGTGTTACATAACATGCGTCCACTCTCAATCACCATATCTCTTTTTCTTAACTTTATATTTTAATCTAATAGGTCGATAGATTCGGTTTCCACGTCCTATAAACCCTTTACTTCCATATTTTTAGGTTGTAAAACGTTTTAGATAATAATGCTTTAGTGACACAAGTCTTACTTATTAATCCATAGCTGGAGGAAGGAAGTGGGTGATTATCTTTCCCAGTGGTATTTTACGTGTAAGTAAACATAACGAAGCCAACAAAAATTGAAACCCGGCTCTCTGATTAACAATTCCTACACCGTCCCTACATCCAATCTTACAGCAACTAGTATTCTCAAACGGTTACCCATCTAGTTACTAACCAGGCTCGAGGTTGTTTAACTTCGGGGATCGTATGGGAACTGGTGTTCCAGCATGATGTGGTTTTAAGCACTTATATACCCTGAAATACAACCGATTTAATAAACAAACGCATTGAAAACTGCACTTTTAAGGATTACAAATACATTGAAAGAATAATTTTATTGTTCGTATACAGAAGAATTATACACCGTCCTAGGTATAAACTACATATGTGTCCTGGGTAAGACGATAAACTGCATCTGGCAGCAAGGCCTCTGATACGGAGGTTTTGAGGATCCTGGAAGCACCTCATAATTGCTCGTGTTCTCAGGTCCAGCCTGACCCGGGGTGGTAGCAACTGTTAGGGTACCAGCTATGGTCAAATAGTTTTCCCCCAAACTGGGATTAAAACACTATGAAAGTGTAAAAATGGGTTTTAATACATAGCATAGTCAATAATAGCAGATATTCAAAAAACATCTTTCGGTCAACATACAAGTATTTCGTCTTCAAGTTTTTGATTTTATAAGGAAAAAAAACACATGCCTGATGATGAATAGAGGACTATTCGTAAGTACTAGCATTTTAACATCAAATAAACTGAAAACTACAGACATCAAGTTTATCGACCTGGATCACTTCGCACTATGGATTAACAGTATTTTAATGTTTATATTATGTTTCTAGCGATGGATGTCGCTAATAATCGCATTAATATTTCTGATTGATTCTATGTGTGATTATTTCTTTGTATGCAAATTATATGTTGCCTAATGTTTTATATATATATATATATATATATTATATATATATATATATATATATATATATATATATATATTCTCGCAGAATCCTGCACAAATGAAAGTTAAGTGTCCTGGAGCCCAGTCATTAATTGATGGGGTTCCGCTAATATACGCGATTTTTAATCACTTTAATTTTATCTACTATATTTTTCCTCAAGAGGATTAGATTGGGTTCGACTATCGCCCGGTTCATACACCTCACGGTCTTTTCAGCATATTTGGATTTCCAGTTCCTTCTAAATTCTACTTTAAATCTATTTTCTGAACCTCGTATCCTAACCTTTTGAAATTAATAATATTTCATTATTTTTCTTTTTAATATTTATTTATTTTCTTATTTATTTAATTTAATATTAATTTTTATTTTTATCATTTATTTTTATTTCTAATTTTTATTAATTTAATTTTCCACAATCTTTTCTTTTATGCGCCGTGTCCTTTCAGGACGTAGACGATCATGGCTCCCCATTTCCTTCTAACCCTTGTAGTTCTCAATAAGTTTTGTGTTTTTGCTACTTTACACAGACCCTGTTCTGCTATCCACTTGCTTAAGCCCGCAAAATATGTCACACTTTGCTTCCATCTTTCCCTCTATCCGCCCAGTGAGTATCAGATTTTCCAAGCCGTTCTTTCTCATTAAGTGTCACATAAATTACAGCTGCCTCTTCCTTTGGTTAAGTATAAGTTTCCTCTTTGTTTGCATTCACTCTAAAACCTCATCGTTGCTTACATGTTCGGTCGATGGCATCTTTGGCATCCTTCTATATAATCATACCTCTATTGTCTTGAGTCTCCTCTTCATATGAAACGAGACAGGATGATTTCGTTAGTAACAAAGAAAAAAGTACAGAACTGCTACGTGATATCTGTCATTTAAGGCAGCAAATGTTGGACGGTCTCCTCAAAAATAATGAAGAGACTCGACGGAGATATGGTTCTACAGAAGGATGCTGAGGATATGGACCGAGCGTGTGAGCAACGATGATGTGGAGAGGATACAAATAAGAAGCATGCTTATACTTAACACCAGGAAGAAATAGCTGCAGTTTCTAGGATAGGTAATAAGAAAAGAAGACCTGGAGAATCTGATACTCACTGGTCGAATAGAGGATTTTGACAGAGGACGGAAAGTGCGACGCTGAGATCCGAAGAGTTTCGGATCTCAGTGTCGCACTTTCCGGATTCTGTCAAAACACTTCCTAGATATTTAAATTTCATCACCTACTTGATAGGTCTCTTTTTTTCATTTCTCTGCTAGCAAGGCGATAAAACTACTAAGAGGCAAGAGGCTGCTGAAAGTGAAAGAACCAACGAGTCCTATGAGAGAACAGTATACCAAAAGGTATTAGACGAAGATTGAAGATGTAATTTTAATTTTGAAGGGCTTAAAAGCAAGAAATCGGAAGAGAATTGCAGGGTGAGAAGTGCGGAGAAGAAAATATTAACATAGAACTTACGGTTCCAAAGAGCAATTTCAACAGGGAAATCATGTGACCTAACTACCAATCTACTATAGTGCTTAAATTAGTGAAGTCGCGGTACAAAAGATGAACTCTCCCCTCCCACTAAAAAAGGAAGAAGGGGATTAACATTGGAAGTTGGGATTAATCCAAGCGGATATATATTTTATGCAGATTCTTAACTGGTTTATTTTACAGTATATGGGCACGTGGCCTAGTGGTTAGAACATTCGCCTTCTGACCATGAGACCCGGGTTCGAATCTCACCATGGTCGAGTTGCCAGATGTAATCGGACTGGAGGGGTCAATACCAGCGTGTGCTACCTTTGGAAAGTGCCTGAAAACCATACCATTGGGTGCCGTAGATAGCTGTGCTAGAACAAAAGTCACAAGTCATCGTGGTCGAGAGCTTGAGCGTGCTGTCCTTGTTCACATTGTTGAACAAATGTCGCTAGATAACAGGCTTTATCCCAGAAACTGTAACTAAGGTCTGCTCAGCATAGTTGCAGTACAAATCACATGTGCGCTCTCTGAATATTGAATAAACCCAAATGCGCCAGAGTAAGCGTCTGCAGTAGGGATTGGCTAGCCGAGTGGCCAGCTATACATACATACATTTTACAGTATATCAATTTTGGGGTTATTTGATTTCTAATTTTTTTATGCCTCGACCACCCACTCCCCACCAGTGATGATCAAACTACACTCTAGTAATGATAAAGGTGACTAGTCTCGTTAACCATAACCCAATGCCGTTGCAGTCTAGGTTATTCATAATATCTACACAACTAGAACTGAAACTAAGCAGAAGACATCTAAAATATTAGCAAATATTTCCTTCGTAAATCCTGATGATGTTTCCCGAGTTTATAATCAATTATTTTTCACCAAAATATATATTGCATATTTATACGTCTACTATTCACCCATGCATCGAATATTGTTGCCATATCTGGTCAAGTACTTCTTCTATATATCTAGAGATTCTTGAAAAAAATATCTGTAATCTGCATCGTTATTCGTACTGCCATGGCATCTCGGTTTCAATAATTTTTCCCACCGGCGCCACATAGCTTCACTGTGCATTTTCTATAAATATTATATGTCAATTGTTTTGACAAGTCTTCTTATTTGCTGTCGGAACTTAAATGGATTTAAGCGCTGTACTCGATTGGAAGTTAGGTCTCAAAATTTCACTGTTGAAATAGATAGTTGTAAATGTAGGTTTTGCGCTAATAGTTTCTTCCCTCTCACTTCTCGCTTGTGGGACTCTTTTTTCCTGCCTTCTTTTCAAGTAGTCTTCAACAATGTAAATATAAGGTCAATCGCCACCTTCTGTCTCCTTGAATCCTGTTCTCTTATCATCTTCTCTGTTACTTTCAATCTCAGTAACCCTTTACTTGGGATGAAATCATTAAAAAACGAGTTTTATTGTATAAATGAAGGGTTGTATAAATAGAGGTCGTACCCCTATCTCGCCCAAGGAGCCTATAATAGATAGATTTTTTTTAAGCATTTCACCCCAAGCAAAGCGAGAGTGACACTAACCCGCAAGGAGTCACAGGGAGTAGAGGACAAAATTAAAGAAATGTGTTTGGAGAGAGGATAAAGAGAAGGACGGGTAACATTATCAAGGTATCAGAAAATGTCGATTGAAATTACACTTGAATATTTGAAGATTATAGTTATCAGGGAAGCAGAGAATTCCACAGACGGGAAGTGCGAGAGAAAAAGTTGTTTGAGTAGAAGAGGCGTTTATATTTAACTGTTTCGACAGTGAAATGTGTGGGGGAGGTGACCGAGAAGACATCTTCGTAGCTCGCTTAAATTCATGCAGTCTGGGAACCAGTGAAAGCAACTCGTCGGAACAGTTAAAGTCAAATTTAGCTTTGGAAGTGCAACCATGCGAAATAGCATCGATTCCATAAAATTACGCCAGATCGGGGACGAGATGTTAATTCATACTATATTGATTGCTGTCCATAAATTTTTGATATTTAATGCTTAATTGGGATCGTGTCGAAGGGAGGAATGTATTGGTGTAACCATTAAATGTCTCCAGAATTTGTCTCAAACAAAATCATGGCAGAATGGGACCGATGTCAATGTTTTCAACGGACTAGTGATCACCTATGAATATATCATACTTCATTTTCTATACTCTACCTGTCTGTACAGTGCCTTGTTGTCTGTTGTGTTTCTTGACTTCATTGGTGTTACGCCAGAACAGAACATAGCTATCAACATGAAAAAATTAGAACTGTATCTCATTGTACCAGTTAGCGTTCAAATGAGCGGCCGTGCCAGGTGAATTGAAACATAGTGTCCAGTGTCGTCGTGTAAAAATTAGTGCTATTTTATGAGTCTTGTTTTCTTATATTCTACAGAATGATTAATTCATCTGCTGGCTATGCACCTGATACCTCCTATATTAAATATGATCGACAATACAGCCCAAACATTTCTGATCTCTTGTAACATACCTACGGACGACAATTGGTATGTCTCCATTCGCATGAATACAGTAGTAAATACTATATGTCGGTCTACAGTTAGAGATTGGTTTCTGGCTGTGATGGTCAGAGAGGATCCCCAGACGAGGCTATGTCTCAACTCGAGAAACAGCTACCGGACCCCGTTTTATACAGTGTCTATGCGCAGTTTTTTGTCTGAGCTTACGGGCTCGAATACACCACATTAAATTCGGTCATGTGCCGAATGTGACCGCGTGGGGCGGCTGGTAGTTATTGTTCAGTTGGAAATCTGTCTCTAGCTGTGCTGGTCAAACTCTCTGCTTCCGGGCAAAG